ATTTATACCATTGTATTCGTTGAGTAATAAGACAAGTTATTCTTCCTACCTTATTAGTTATATGGTATTAGAGACAAGCTTATGATTCGCCCGTATTGGGTCTCCTTGATATGTTTTGGTTGCTTTGTGGTGGTTTCAGATCATATAACCACGTTTGACGAAGGGAAAATTTATTTTGAGACCAGATTTTGCTGCTACTTTGTTGGTCAAGTTTGAGTTTCTTATATGTTGTTCTGTTTCTATGTTTCTAAAGTAATATTTAGGAGGCTGCCTGTGTTAGAAACTATCCTTGGTGGACTCCCTATTCAGATTAAATTATGACTTATTTGGGTCTTCTTCCTTCGTTACAATTTGAGACTTGTTGGGTTTTTGTTAGTTCTCTGAGTTTGTTTGACTGGATTCAGATTTGCTTGATTCTTTGATTTGTTTCGAGTGATTCACTGGATTGGAGTTTTATTTCTGTCCAACAGAGACTTGGTTTGGATAATTCCAGCTTTGGACAATTTTCTATCAATTTATTTTGATATTGTGAGTTAGGGAAATAACTGCTGCTAGTTCAATATCTGATAAAATGATTTTGGTTTCCGCTGAAGAATTTTCTGAATTCTCTCAATATCAGAAATCATTGAAGGAATCCATTTTAGTTAATGTTTTTACTGAGTCAACTAAAACATGTCTTATGACCTCTTCAAATAAATGGGTCATTGATTCAGGTGCCACAAATCACATGATAGGTAATTCTAATAATTTTTCTAGCTTTCAATCACACAAAGCACCATCTCCAGTTACTGTAGCTGATGGATCAACTTGTAATAGTATTGGATATGGGACTATTAAACCAACCTCCTCTATTACCCTATCGTTTGTACTTAGTATACCAAAGTTGGCTTTTAATTTGATTTCTATAACCAAAGTTACTAGAGATCTTAATTGTTATATTTCGTTCTTTCCCGATCATTTTTTGTTTCGTGATCTTAAGACAAATCAGGTTATTGGTAAATGACATGTAGTACATCCTTGATGAATGGGAGTATCGGTTTGTTGCATGCTCTAGTGTTGTGTCTCCATTTGAAGCACATTGTCGATTGGGACATCCTTCTCTACCTCTGTTAAAGAAGTTTTGTCCTCAGTTCCATAATATTCCTTTATTGGAATATGAATCTTGTCGATTGCAAAACATCATCGCAGGCTTTTGAGTTAGTTCATTCTGATGTTTGGGGACCGTGTCTTGTTGTTTCCAAAACTGGGCATAAGTATTTTGTCACTTTTGTGGATGATTTCTCATGGATGACTTGGATTTATTTTATGAAGAGTCGTTCTGAAGTGTTTACTCACTTTTGTGCCTTCTATGCTTAAGTTAAGACTCAGTTCAATGCTTCGGTACGTATTTAAGAAGTGACAATGCCAAAGAATATATGTTAGAACTGTTTCAGACATACATGAGAAAACATGGTATTCTACACCAGTCTTCATGTCTTGATACACCCCCTCAAAATGGAGTTGCTGAGAGGAAGAATAGGCATCTACTTTAGACAGCTCAGACACTTTTGTTCCAAATGAAGGTTCCTAAACAGTTTTGGGCAGATGCGGTCTCCACGACTTGTTTTTTGATTAATCGCATGACATCTACTGTGCTTGTTGGTAACAGGCCTTACACTGTTCTTTTTCCAAACAAGTCACTATTTCATGTTAAACCCAAGATATTTGAAAGCACATGCTATGTTCGAGATGTTCGACCATTTATTACCAAGTTATATCCCAAGGCATGGAAGTGTATTTTTCTAGGCTATTCTCGCCTTCAAAAAGGGTATCGATGTTATTCTACTCAACTTGGGAAATATCTTGTGTCAAGTGATGTGGTATTTTCAGAGACTACACCGTTCTTTTATGTACCTCCCAGTTCTACAAGCCAAGAGGAGAAAGATGAGTGGTTAGTGTATCAAGTCACTAGTGTTTCAACAGCACAATCAGATTTTGTTTCTCCAACTCCCAATTCTTCTATGGATCATCACTCACCCATTGTACCTTCCGTGCCTTCCCCATCTGCACTAGCAAGACCACCAATTGTTCAAGTTTACTCTAGGAGGCGAGAGACCAATGATTCTTGTCATGCACCAATTTCGTCATCATCTGACCCTCCTCTGTCTGCTCCTCCAGAAAACCTTGATCTCCCTATTGCCCTTCACAAAGGTACACGTGCCTACAAATCTACATATTCCATTGCTAATTTTGTTTTCTATGATCGCTTATCCTCTACTTCTAGATCTTTGATTGCTTCTATAGACTCCGTCTCTGTACCCAAAACAGTGAATAAGGCTTTGAATCATCCCGGATGGTCTAATGCAATGCTTGATGAAATACATGCCTTAGAGGAGAACCACACGTGGGATTTGGTGGATATACCTAAGGTAAAGAAACCAGTGGGATGTAAGTGGGTCTTCACAATTAAAGTTAATCCAGATGGTTCCATATCAAGACTCAAGGCTAGACTTGTGGCTAAAGGGTATGCTCAGACATATGGAGTAGATTATTCTGACACATTCTCCCCGGTTGCCAAACTCACTTCTATTCGCTTGTTCATTTCTTTAGCTGCTTCTGAGAATTGGCCTTTGCATCAGTTGGATATCAAGAATGCATTTTTACATGGTGATCTTCAAGAGGAAGTGTATATGGAGCAACCACCAGGTTTTGTTGCTCAGGGGGAGTATGAGAGAGTCTGTCATTTGAAAAAGTCTTTGTACGGCTTGAAGCAAAGTCCTCAGGCTTGGTTTGGTAAGTTCAATGAGGTAGTTTAGGATTTTAGGTTAAAAATGAGCAAATGTGATCACTCTGTCTTGTACCGACAATCAACAACTGGCATTATTCTCCTTGTTGTATATGTTGATGACATTGTCATTACAGGAAGTGATTATGTGGAGATCTCTTCCCTCAAGTCTTTCCTACATACTAGGTTTCATACAAAGGATTTAGGCAGTTGAAGTACTTTTTGGGAGTAGAAGTAAATAGAAGCAAGAAGGGAATTTTTTGTCTCAGAGAAAGTATATTCTTGACCTACTTAGAGACACAGGAAAATTGGCAGCAAAACCTTGTAGTACTCCAATGGTTCCCAATGTGAATCTTTTGGAAGATGATGGTGATCCTTTTGATGATCTAAAAAAATACAGAAGGTTAGTTGGGAAGTTAAACTATCTTACTGTGACTCGTCCAGATATTGCTTTTGCCGTAAGTGTTGTTAGCCAGTGCCTACGACCAAACATTGGGAAGCTTTGGAACAAATTCTATGTTACTTAAAAGGTGCTCCTGGATTTGGTATATTGTATACCAATCAGAGTCATACTCGTATTGAGTGCTTTGCAGATGCTGACTATGTCGGATCCAAGATTGATAGAAGATCGACAACAGGTTATTGTATCTTTGTTGGAGGGAACCTAGTTTCATGAGGAGTAAGAAGCAAAGTGTTGTATCTCGATATATTGCCGAATCTGAGTATAGAGCTATGTCACAGTCTACGTGTGAGATTATGTGGATACATCATGTTTTAACGGAAATTGGTCTAAAGAAACATAAACCAACAAAAATCTGGTGTGATAATCAAGTTGCTCTTCATATTGCCTCAAATCCAGTGTATCATGAAAGAACTAAACATATTGAAGTTGATTGTCATTTTATTCGTGAGAAGATTCTGGAAAATCTGATTTCCACTGGCTACGTGAAGACAGGAGAGCAACTAGTTGATTTATTCACAAAAGCATTGACTAGAACTCGAGTTGATTATCTTTGTAACAGGCTGGGCATGGTCAATATCTATTCTCCAGCTTGAGGGGGAGTGTTACAGAATCACTACAGATTTGTATATGATTGTGTATATATTAGTGATTGTGTATATATTAGCATAGCTGATTTATAGGGATTTGGCTATCTAGTTACCATAGTTAACTTAGTCTCCTTATGTATTTATACCATTGTATTCGTTGAGTAATAAGATAAGTTATTCAAGTTATTCTTCCTACCTTATTAGTTACAAGGCGCAAATTTCATTTTAAAAGGTAGAATTAATTTTTACCTGGAAGAAGAAAGTAAAAGTGTTTAGTGGGTTCCTGGCCAGTCCTCCTCAGAAAACATAGTTGTGGACCTTTTATAGTGATAATGATCTTGAATATGATAGACTGATATAGCTAACTTTCACACGATTTTGGCCCAATTCTGATAGAGAAAATAGCATTTGTATCCAGAGACTGCATCAATTTGGTGGCTTTAATTGGAGATTATCTTTCTTCAATCTTGACTAGTAGGTGTCCTTTTTAGTGTGGGGTTGTTCATCCCTTTTATTGTGATGGAAAGTGCTATATTTGCATGTAGTCCATGCTTCCAAGTACTTATTGTTAATGAACCTAATTATGAACTTATGTTATATACGGATTTTGTTATGGATACGTATCAGATACAAGTTCGCGCAAGTATGGTATGCAAAATACTTTGAAAGATCCGCTTGAGGTATGTGAAAGATGTACATAACATAGTCTAAAAGAAACAGCTATAACATATATAGTTTAGTCCCTATAGGGAGTGGAAATGACTTAAAGACTGTCAAAAGTTAAAACTATCTCCATCAGCAGGAGACAAGGATAGACAACCATTTAAGGAATTATGTGCTTTTCATCAATTGAACAATTAGGAAAAAGGCCAATTATGATAGAGATGTGTCCTGTACAAAGGTTAAAATCAATGAAAGAGTTTGTGAAAACTTAAAAGGATTTAGACTATTTTATAGATAGTCACAATCTTCTAACTGATTCTTTAAGATTGAATAGTAAAGCATTTCGAATTAACACTTAATGGACAGAATTACAACCTATAAACCAAATATATACAAATTGACAAAAAAAAATACTATTAAAAGAGAAATAATGTATTATCCATTCTATTCAAAGCATACACAAAAAGAAGACAAGTTTTTAATATTCTCATTGTTTTACAAAGAAGAAAGTTTCCGAACAGATTAAGAATAAAACTATACAGCACACACCGGTTTGGTATTAGCATCTCTGCTGATGAAAAATAGGCTATGAAAACTGTCCAAAGGCATCTGGAATTCTCTGAGAGTGCTTATTATATATGTTTGCAGTTTGTAAAGAAGGTTGTTGCTGTTGGTTCTGTGGCCTTGTACTCAATGAACCTTGTGTTGTGAATTGTATACTTGATTTTTCACTGTATAAATCTTGAGTTATTTGATTATTGGTGATTGCATTGCCTGGTAAAAGCTGTGTATGGAGATATTCGAACCATTTGATGTCTTCAGGATCAGTTACTGAGGGATGAATATTGGCTTCTTTTTCTGATTTATCATAATCTGCAGTTCCCCAGGAGAAGGCATTGCTATCGAAGAAAGAAGAATTCCTTTGCAATTCAATACTAGTACTGTTTCCATTGCGCATTGAATCATTACTTGCTACTGCTGCTATTGGAGATGTCAGAATATTATCATTTGTGATGGTGGAATTGAACTGATGAGTAAACATTTCTGAATTCTTGGAGTTGAAAAGGAGATTATTGGTGTTTGAATTCATGGACAAACCAATGTTTGAGCCATAATTCAACTGCCGAAAGGAGAGGTAACTTGCCAACTCAAGAGGCTTATTGCAGCTAGCGGTGGAGGTTTCTTGTGTGGTAACAAACCTTTCAAGAAAGAATTCGTGTGTTAGTGGCGCTGCAGAAGTAGTGGTATTACTGGGATAGCGGTCCATAGTCATTGTCACTAAAGATGACTTTGATTTATCTGTTTGAATTCCGTAGTTGGAATTCTCATGTGATTCAATAAAATTCACTTCACTTGAGCCTTCAGAGGCTTTCTCAATATTCATACTGATTGCTGACACCTTCTCTTCATTCTCAACTACAGATAGAAGCTTATTATGAGTGTTTGGATCAATCCCTTTTTGCCTTAGTTTCTTCTTAATAGAAGAGTTCCATAAATTCTTGATTTCATTGTCGGTTCTTCCAGGTAATCTAGAAGCAATCTGAGACCACCTAAGCAACGCGAAAAAAGATTCGTTACATTCATGAATAGTCTAAAAGGGTAAAAGAATGAAGAATATTTATTTACTTGTTCCCTAAAAGTGAATGAAGTTGAATGATCAAATTCTCTTCCTGTTGTGAGAATGTTCCTCTTTTGAGGTCAGGTCTCAAGTAGTTAATCCACCTAAGCCTGCAGCTCTTTCCACACCTCTGAAGAGCTGTATATGAAAACGAAAACGAAAACTAGTGTTATTTATGTGATGCATTATTGATGAAAACAGAGAAAGTAGTAGTGTACCTGCTAGTTTAGGGACTGAACTCCAACAACCATGACCATATTTGGTTATATGATTTATAAGTTTCTCATCTTCCTCAGGGGACCAAAGGCCTTTCCTCAGCTTCTGCTTGTAACAGCAAGGTCTCCCCATGTGCAACTGCAATGCTGGCGAAACAAAAGGTCAAAAAAGAAAGCAAAGTTTTTTCACCAAATGTGCAAATGGATTTTAATTAGAGAGAGATGTTGATGATGATAATTAGAGTAGGAATCAAATAAATAGAAGGGAGGAGCCTTAATATTACTAGTACTAATCTCAAGGTCATTTTCACAACATCATGATTTGATTTTTAGTTTTAGACCTAAGTACTGAAAACACCCCTAAATTTCGTGCAAATTATTAGTTTCATCTTGGACTATTGACAGTCTTAAAAATAGTCATTTACTTTACTAACTGAACTTAATTACACCTTCCATCTTGCAACATGAGTGAAATATACCTCTAAATTTTTGTCAAATTTAAATGTGTTTTCAATAATTCTCTAGGTTTTTTTTATTAAGAGCCTCATGCTCACACAAGAGGTTGAAACCATTTGTTATGTCATGTGTCAGATCGAGAGTGTATCTAGGTTTAGTTAGTCAAGTAGAAAGATGTTTTAAAGACTGTCAGTAGTTTGGAGACGAAGCTAATAATTTACACCAAGTTCAGGGGTGTTTTCGACACTTTTCTCTTTAGCTTTATTCAATTTGTTAATTTTGTATTCTATATACCTACAGTGCAAAGAGTTCCTTTCACTATCATGTAAATTGCAAGTTATGGCTTTCTATAACAACCATAGTTTGGTAACCTGCAAATTGTTATAAGTAGCCTGTAATTATAGGTAAAATGACAATGATAATGTGTATATCTTTTTACATTGTCAATGTATCCAATTTATTTTTTCATATTACATTCGTTTTTAATCTTCCCCTTTTTCTACATTTGATGTGAAATTGGAGCTCCAATAATCTTACTTGCTTTGTCTTATAGCTGGATTTTGAGAAAATTACTGAATTTGACAGCACTTGTGGGGCACTTCAAAAGAATTTTTTTTTGGTGGAACAACAAGGGCATTTTGGCCTACAAGACTAACTGTTCATAGAGTCTCAGTCAGTTAAACAAATTCAGAATTAAATTATAAACAATTTCTTATAGTTAACATTCGTTAATT